GGTGGCTGTCTGCAGGGAAAGGTCAGGTGCTTCAGAGCACGGCGGACGTTTGGGAAGACTCTTAAGAAGTTCTTTGTTACATGATAGCAATGAATTTTCAGTTACTTGCTTAAAGAAAAGCCCGTTTTCACTCCTCTCTGATTCGCCGTCGTGCTCACGTCTTGTTTTCTGTCACTGCCGCTGGTAGGGCTGGGGTTTGCTGTGGGGAAAAAGGCGTCAAGACAGAGATGCTCATCCTGTGTTCCCTCTGCGGACCTACAGGAAAGCCAAGGGTCACTCGGCGTTCCCCTCCCTTCACCTCCCGTTTCCAGCTGCACTTTGTGTTGTAGCTGTGTTCATAAACCTCTTTAACGTCTTCAGGTGACGAACGCCCTCTTCCCTGTGGCCTTGATCCAGCTCGAATAAACTGAGTCTGCGTGAATTCAGAATAGTCTGAAGTGTGAAAAGCACCCGTAATCTGCGTAAAGCACGGAGCAGACGGCCTGCCAGCAGTCTGTGTCAGTTGTACATGTGCCGTCTGAGTTCGGGGTCTCGGTCAGCGCTGCTGCGTGTAAGCCAATTTGTGTATAGGCACATACCTGTAGCTAGAAATACCACCAAAGTCCTCTAACTGAATTTCCAGTCTTTCCCCCTTTGTCTTCTAGAACACAGGTGCTAATTTTACCACTTTGATATAAGCTACAAAAGTATTTCAGGACTTGCCTCTATTTTTGTTAGCAATTTTTTCAATGGAGATAAGCAGTGTGAATGCATATGACTTGTGCTCATATCTAATTACATGTCAAGTAAATATGTTTAAAAATGGGAACTGTTCTGAGAAACTGACTTGTGTGTCATGCTGTAAAACACGGAATGCTACCAGTTCATTGAAGCTGTGGACACAAACTGTGTTGTGTCAGAAGGCCAGAATTATTTTTAAAAGTGATTCTGCCTCAAACTTATCCTTCTCTTTTTTCTCTTTTCTTTTTTCTCTTTTCTATTTTTTTCCCCTTTTTCCCCTTTTCCCCCTTTTTCCCTTTTATCTTTTTTCTTATTTTTTTTCTCTTACCCCAATTCTCTACCGTCCTTTTCATCCTAATACTTAAATTCTTTACTTCAGTTTGAGTAGCTTTGACTGACCTACAGGATCATTATATATATGTAGCTGTAGCTGAGCAGCAGAGTGGTGGTAATATATATGTACTAAGGAAAAGCCGAAGAGAAAGATGTCCTAAATATGCTACTACTGCATATATTCTGTTCTGCTGTCTCTCAGCGTATAAAGAATAATGTTACAGAAAGTGTTTTCAGCGGTACTTCATAATGGGATTGTCTTGGATATTAAACCCAAATCCCAAAGTTGTTACGTAGTTACTTAACTAATGACAGACCATAACAGTTGACAATGTGACCTCAAGGCCGTTAGAATTGTTTATTTCAGCTGAAGGGCAAGAAACAAAACAAATTATATTTTCCACAGTATGTTTCTTCCTGATAGCAATGAATTATACGTCGGGTTATAATTCGTATTTAAGGAGATACATACTTGCATTCTTCCCCCCCCCCTTTTTTTAAATGAAGACATCTTTTCAGAATAAACGTCGATGTTCTTGTGACAGCCACAAGATGGCATGCCTTGTCTTCTTTTTCAGCCTCTGTAGGTTAGGTAATAAGGTTTGCAATCTTCTCAGTAACAGGGAAGACTTTGAGAAGTAGTGAATCAAGGAAGTATTTGTTTAAGAACTATGTGGTTAGGTAATCTCACGGAAGTCTAACCAATGACTTCTACCTCATGCTGTTAAATAGTTGTAATGTTAATGCTTCTTATCCGTCATGATGGGTTGCTGTGATCCAGCTAAAACTTAAGCCACCCTTGATACGAGACATGTTTTTCTTTTGTTAGTAATTGTACCTAGTTTGTACTGCAGAGGGGGACCTTGAACGAGTAGAATTTAGTTAACCTGTACTAAAATTTGGTAGAGCTAGTAGACACGTTTCTTCCAAAAATGTCATCAAATTTAAGTGATTGGCATGTCTGCTAGCATTGTCAACAAAGAGGAGAGCAGTTTGATAGTTCATACCCACAATGAGAAAACTCATGCGCTATTTCAGGTGGCTAGGAAGGAACTTCTGTTCCCTGCTTATGCTACTTTATCCACAGCTGTTGTTAGTGATTTAAAAATTTTTCTAGTATATATATACACATCCATAGAAACCAGAATAAAGAAAACAGAGCACATGTTATGTCATCTCTGTAGGGCCCGTGGGCTTTGTGGGCTCATCATACTAACCACCGTTTAACGCAATGCAGAACATACTCCGTTCATCTTGTTTCATAGTAAAACTTACGACTTGTTTCACATCGCAGCCTGTTGCCAAAGTTCCTGTCTCCTGCTGCCATGTTGCAAAACGGCGCATTCCTAAGCATGGCATAAGGTGAGAGCAGGAATATCCTGTTTCCTCCACGTAAGATGGAAAAGTAGAGAAAAAAAAATCTGCTGGATACTGGGATATTCTAGGGCAGTCCTAGCCAAGCTGAAAATTCTGGCTACACCAGGCTCTGTGAAACGTTCAGGAGGTGACTCAGAGAAAAGAGTGCCGTGTAGTAAAACTAGTAGCATTTTAACCAGCTCCTTGGAAGTTTCCATTCCCACCATGAACAGAACTCTCATTGATTCAGGAGTTCAATCCAAGGACACTCTGGCACGCCTTATTTTTAGTGGGCTGAAACCAGGTGAAGAAATCAGAGTACAAAGATACATACAAAGCACTCTTGCAAGAACATCTAATAAAGACACCTGTGTTGAAAGTATTTTTTCTGTCTTTTAGTCTGGAGTAGCGAACCACAGAAGTTATATTTATATCTTTTTTAACAGACTGAAGTGTTGTGCTCGTTGAAAAGACCACGTGCTTCTGAAAGAAATAACTGCCACATTAATGTGATGGCTAACAAAACTGAGTTAGATTACAGTGAAGTGACAGATACTATAAATGTCTGTGTAGTAAGGCGTAGCTGGTGTTATCTGCTAAACAGGTTCTGGTAATTACAGAAAATTTTTTCAACTATTATTTGTATGTTACTAAACAATGTGTGAGAGATAGCTTGTTTGATTACTTACTGATGCAATTCAGATATTGCAGATATATGATATAAATGCATAGGGCTTGATGCTTTTCGAAAGCTTATATCAATGATTTCAAAAATTCCCTCAGCTTTTGAATCATTATTTCTCTTTCTAGTGCCTTTTCTCCACACCAAAGCCTCATCTAACTTGCTGAAAAATGCACAGCACTGCTTTCAGCTAGCTTAACTGCTTTCCCTTGTCTCTGCATAGCATTGTGTCTTCCCATCTGGACATAGTTCATGGTTAGCACTTAAAATTCTCTGAATTTTAAAACTGCTGGAGAACCCAGGCTTTTTTTGCAAAGAGACTTTAAATGCATTTTACAGCCCTCCTTATTTGTCCATTTTCCAAAAATAGTTTAATCTGACCTAGAATTTAAGCAATTCTCACTTGCCTTGGGGAAGAAGAGAAATCAAAGGTGCTAAAGGCTTGCAGAAAAGGGCAATCTCTGAGAAGGAAGAGCCTGTTAGAAGGGCATAAGCTTAAGTGAGAATGAGTACAAGAGGTAAAAGGAGCAGATATTTGATGCTTATGAGTCTTCACAAGTTTGGGAACACTTTGCAAAAGAATATAAGCCAGTTTGTCAAAACTGTCTGTCTTTACTGCAAGAAATGTCGTTTCACAATAACGTAAAGAATAAAAAGTTGAACCAGTAGCCACTGGACTCATTCACAGCATGGAAGTTGTATTTAGAAGTGCTGGGAAGAACAGTAACCTCTCAAAACCACAAGAGATCACAGAATCACAGAATGTTCGTGGTTGGAAGGGACCTCTGTGGGTCATCTAGTCCAGCCCCCCTGCCGAAGCAGGGTCACCCAGAGCAGGCTGCACAGGACCTTGTCCAGGTGGGTCTTGAATATCTCCAGAGAAGGAGACTCCACAGCCTCCCTGGGCAGCCTGTTCCAGTGTGATTCTGTGAACCACTGCCTAGTTATGAAATGTGGCACTTATGACTGCACCTGTAGGAACTGCGTGCGAACAGAGTTTGATGAGACTCCAAGATGCACTGTTGGGATCTTTCAGAGATGCTGGTCACATGGTTGTTCTGCCATACTGAGGACACTAATTGCACTGTCTTCCTTTGTCAGCAGGTTTTCAAAGGAAATAGGATGACCTTTCACTGTCCCCCGCAGACAGGGACTGAGGAGTGCATTCCTTCACTCCTTGTTACCACACCTGCTAGAAACAAACCCACAGACTTGGGCAGCATTGCTGTGTGAGACACACACACAGCAAAGACACAGAGGACACAGAGCTGTGGACAAGGCCAAGCAGGCAGTGGGGCCCATAAGACCAGCTTAGTTCCTATCTTCCTCGGATACGGGTCAACAGCAGACCTCCCACATCCTCCAACAGGAAAAATTCAAGTAGGTGGAGGCTAAAGACAGGGTTGCTTTAGCATGGAGAGGAGATCAAGAGAGAGAGGTTTGTGTCAGTGATACCAGCTCCATCCTCCCACAGACTTTCTCCTCTTAACTCCTTCAATCAATTGCCCCTGTAATTTGAGGCAATACACCGCTAACTACAGCCTCTTCGATATGCCAGTCACTAATGCTTGAATGCTTTAAAAACGAAGGGATTGTGAGAGGGGATGGTGAAGGGACAGGGGTGAAGGTGCGCTGTGCCAGGGAAGGAGCAAGTCCTCTCTCCAGCTCTCTGATGTTGGCTCCTGCTGTTCAAATGGAACCTTACCCGGGAAAATAAATCTTTAGTTAAAGAATGTTGCAAACACCCACAATGGGGCTTTATCGTAGCAATACCAACCCCACTGCAGCTTGTAAACATTTGGTTGGACAGAGGGTGAGCAGCAACAACCCCACACCGTGCTGAAGTCCGCATTCCTAGAATTCCCCAGCGAAGGCAGGCATGCTCAGGGAAGGCAGCTTAGTGGCTCAGGGGTTATTAGCTGAGAGTTCAGGTTCAGATGTGCAATGGGACGGAGGTCAGGGCATGGATATAGCTCCTTGTCTCTCCCTGGCTTTCATTCGAAAATTTTCACGCATTCTCAGCATAGCATCTACAGTGTCCTCTCTCCACCCGCTAGTGCACAAAGGGGTTTTGCTTGCGTTCCTCCAATCATTACAGCCTAAGTGCTGTGAGGTCTCTGGGGCTGGAGTGCAGGAGATCCCCACTGCAGCAGCCTCCTGCGAGGTCTCATGAAAACTAAGTCGTCCTCTTTGTAGGCTTCTTCTCTTACCTCCGGGGCCTGGGATTCCTGAGGGCCAGTCTTAGCACTGAAGACTGAAGCAAAGAAGGCATTCATTAGCTCTGCCTTCTCCGCATCCTCCGTCACCAGGACACCCGCCTCATTCAGCAGCGGCCCCACGTTGTCCCTAGCCTTCCTTTTGCTGCTGATGTAGTTGAAGAAGCCCTTCTTGTTGTTTTTGACATCCCTTGCCAGCTTCAATTCCAGGTGGGCCTTGGCCTTCCTCGTCGCATCCCTGCATGCTCTCACTACGTTTCTGTACTCTTCCCAAGTGGCCTGTCCCTCTTTCCACATTCCATGGACCTTTCTCTTCTGCCTGATCTCCGCTAGAAGCTCCTTGTTTAACCATGCAGGTCTCCTGCCTCCTTTGCTAAATTTCTTTCTCAGGGGGATGCATTGCTCCTGTGCATGGAAGAAGTGTTGTTTAAAGAGCGACCAGCACTCATGGACCCCCCTGCCTTCGAGAGCCCTGGCCCACGGGATTCCTCCCAGTAGCTCCTTGAAGAGGGCAAAGTCAGCCCTCCTGAGGTCCAGGGTTTTGATCCTGCTTATCGCCCTGCTTCCTCCATGCAGGATCCTGAACTCGACCATTTCATGGTCACTGCAGCCGAGTCTACCTCCAACCTTCACGTCCTCCACCAGTCCCTCCTTGTTTGTTAACACGAGGTCCAGCAGCGCGCCTTTCCTTGTTGGTTGCTCCACCACTTGCATCAGAAAGTTATCATCGATGCTCTGTAGGAACCTCCTGGATTGCGCCTGCCTAGCTGTATGGTCTTCCCAGCTGATGTCAGGGTGGTTGAAGTCCCCCATGAGAACCAGGGCCTGTGACTGTGAGGCTGCTTGCAGCTGCCTGTAGAAGGCCTCATCAACCTCCTCCTCCTGGTCAGGTGGCCTGTAGTATACACCCACCGTAATGTCACCCGTGTGAGCCTGTCCCTTAATTCTAACCCACAAGCTTTCAACTCCTTCTTCACTTGCCCCCAGGCCAAGCTCAATGCATTCCAGTTGCTGCCTCACATATAGAGCAACTCCCCCACCTCTCCTTGTTGGTCTGTCTTTCCTAAAGAGTCTGTAGCCATCTATGACAGCATGCCAGTCATGCGAGTTGTCCCACTACATTTCTGTGATGACGACCAAGTCGTAGCCGTCCTGCTGTATAATGGCTTTCAGCTCCTCCTGTTTATTGCCCATGCTACGTGCATTGGTGTAAACACACTTGAGCTGGGCTGTCAATCTCACCCCTGAGTCTGGCACGCCAAGCCTGGGCTCATCCCTAGTGAGCTGGGCAATATCCCCTTCCCCCTTCGAACCTAGTTTAAAGCCCTCTCAATGAGCCCCGCCAGCTCGTGGCCAAGAATCCTTTTTCCCCTTTGAGACAGCTGGACTTTGTCTGTCACCATCAGGCCCAGTGCCATGTAAACCTCCCCATGATGAAAGAAACCAAAATTCGACTGATGGCACCAGTCCCTGAGCCACCTGTGAGTTTTCCTGCCCCTTTCAGTGCTCTTCCCTGCCCCTGATGGGATTGCGCCACTGATCCCTCAACCAGTCACCCCAGTGCCCTGAAGTCCCTTTTGATGGCCTTGGGACTTCTCTCCGCGATCTCATCCCTGCCAACCTGCATTACCAAGAGGGGGTAGTAATCCGAGGGCTGCACCAGACGAGATGTATTGCCCTAGTGGTAGATTGGCTTTTTTACGTCCAGGAATACCCTGCACAGGCCCTTACCTCTATTCTGTTTATGGAAACCTGAAGAGGCTTTGTTAACTTTCAAGCTACGAGGGAGAAAGCTTTTTCATCTATGCAACAGCATCAGAAGGAGCAGAAGATGAAATGATTGTCCTAGTGACTGACATTGCAGGGAGGAAGTAGCAAAGGAAATGGCTGAAATGTTTTTTCCCTGCGTGCTAATTATCGGGTTTTGAGATCATTTTCTTCTTTCCTTCCCTGGGCTAGCTGTTACAGCCTTGTTCACACACTAAGCAACGGCTGAGCAAACAAGAAAGATTCTGGTGAAAATTTCTCATTGTTGAAAGGAACCTGGAGTTTGTAATACTCCTGCCATCACCA